CACCTGAGAGGTAGAGAGAGACAGAGAGACAGAAAGTGAGAAATCACCCCCTCCCAGAGGGGATGGCATTCTGCAATCCCTTCTCCTCCACTCTTCTCTCGGGATTCTGGGCATGCATGTACACATGCCCAACATGAGTTTAAGCCGCTGGGTCTAGGACTTGAACCAGAGTTGACTATGTGGGAGGTCAGCAATATAACCATTGTGCTATCTGCTGGTTCCTTTTATAATCTTTTTGAAGACCCCCCTCTGGTATTTCCTGATTTCACATGTGGAAACTGAAGGCTTCTTAAGTGTTATGCCTAAGCTCACCTATTCATTTTTATTTTTTTTTTTAAAGTTTCTTTCTTTCATGAGAGAAAGACAAGCACCCTCAGTATGGTCCCACAGTGCAGTCCACATCATTTACCACTCGGTTTTCTGTCTTCCCAGCTAGCCAGGCATGTACAGGTCAGTAAGGGAATCAATCCCATGATTTTCCATATGTGTCTGGCATCACCTGAGCAGTACTCTACTGCTATGCCACTGAGCTGGGCCCAAGTTCACCCTTGTATCAGTAGTAACACCAGGACCGAAAGTCAGGTCTGTTAGATTTCAAGGCCATGATTTTTGCAAATGTACCACATGTGTTTTATTTTATTTAGGTTTTTGCCATAGGGCTTTTGCATTTGCTGGGAAAGACAGAGAGAGACAGACAGAAAGAAAGTGAGAAATCACTGCTGAGTGGATGGCCACATTGCAATCCCTTCTCCTCCACTCTTCTCTCAGGATATTGAGCCCATATGCACATGCACCCGAATTGATTTTCAGGCCATGGGATCTGGGGCTTGAACTGTGGTTGGCCATGTGGGAGTCCAGTGCCTTAACTACTTTGCCATTTGTTGGCCTGTCTGTACACATTTTAAAAAGAGTAGAAAAAGTCACAGGACCCAACATGGAGAATTTACTTTTACCTTGAAACAAATGAAATGTTATTTTAACACATTAAGTACAATTTGCCTTAACCCTGAAGATGAAAATAGGAGGTATAGACCCATTTCATATTGCTGGCTGACCACTCCCAGATCTCCAGAAATCTTGTTTCACTTTCCTCTGAGTGTTTATTTGGTTTAAAACTTTGAGGAATACTGCATTCTGTTCAGTTGCCCGCATTTACCTTTCAGCTTGTACACGGAACACAAGCTCTGCCATGAAAAACATTTGTACCTTCAAAATAGCGTGGTATCAAAACACCAAAAGCAAACAGTGTCAGAATATGTGAGAACAATTTGAGCAAAAAACACACTTGTAAACTCAAACGAGCACAAAACCACAAAAACAGCAAAGGGAGTAACTTATGTTGGAAACTTCTTGAATACCTTTTTCCTTCTTTTCTCAGGTAAGAATGATGTACCTTTGGAAACTACCGAGAACAGCTTCAGGAAGCAGCTATACAGTAAGCCCTACAGTTGGAGGATTTATGTCAGTGGAAAAATCTGTAGCATTTTACAAATCGTGAGGTTGAGAACTATACCTGGTTCCTGCATCAGAAGAAAATAGCAGTCCTTTTTCCCTCCCTATGAAAGAAAGCTTTTACAGAACATGGTAGGTTTTCCACTGGATGGTTATCAAATTAATAATCTTGTCTCGTCTTCAATTCTTACTTTTGAAAGAATGCAGACATGTAGTAACTATTCCAGGTGTTCAGTGAAACAGGTAAATGTCACTGCAACTGGGCAATGCTGCTGTTAATAATAATATAAACAATAGTAATAACACCTGATTACCTAATTACCATTTACCAAGCACTAGTGTTACCAGCCAACTAAGCCCAGCTTCTTTTTTGCATGGTCAATGATTCGAGGCAGAGGCTGGATAAGGGTGTCTATTTTGTAACCAGTTATAGGGAGAGAGCAGGTACCATCAAACTGTCTAGAAAAGGTCAACCTGTTCTTGGTATTTACAGGCATGAGATACAAGCACATGCAATTCATCCCTCACTCCAATCCATCAGTGTCAATCACTTTTTGCTGAGTAAGCTTCCTGATTCCCTTAAATACCCAGTTTGGTTTCTCATCTGACCATTACTCAAACACATCCCCACATGACTCAGCATTTGGTCAGGCTGTTCCCATTAGTGCTCTTAATTTCAAAATGGCTGCAGTCCTGCTAAATCTAAAATTGGACTGTTACACAACAGTGGTTCTCAACCATGAGTGATTTTACTCTCTAGGACACATTTGCAAATGTCTGAAAACATTCTTTCTTAGATATATTTCTCATATATTTATTTATTTATTTCTTCCACAAATGAGAGAGAGATAGCACCCCCAGCAGGCTCTTGCCATCACAATTCACTTCCTAACATTCAGGCCCCAGATCATGGACACTTGCATGCCTGGAGTACTCAGGGAGGTCTCTGGACTTGATCCAGAAACTGTCAACTGTCCCACGTGGAATTGCCTCACAGAGCATCTTTCGTTTTACCATTTCACCACTGTCTGGCCCTTGGAGGTACTTTTCATTATGATGATGGAGGGGCTGGTGGTCAGTGGGAAGGCTGCTAGCAATATCTAGTGGGTAGAAATGAGAGTTGCTGCTAAACATCCTATGATGCACAGGATAGTCCTCTCCTCTCCTCCAACAAAGAACAACTCTACCCCAAAGGTCAGAGTGTTAGACTGAGTAACCCTGCAGGAGACTGAGTCTTTCACACATATTTGACTTTAAAACAACTCTAAGAAATGCCCTTTATTATTGTCCTCACTTAATAGATGAGAATATTTAAGCTCAGAGGAGCTAACTTCAATGGTTTGAACCTTTGAACACTCCCAAGTTTCTTTCTTAAGATCTATTTAGTCCTATGGTCATTGCACAAAACTTAGGGTTGTTCAGTGGCTGGGAACTGGCTGCTAATGTGAGCGTGTAAGTTACTCAACTGACTCTGACTCAACCCCCGTCCCACTCTGGGATGATGCTGGTGAACAGCTGGTGGCTAGAGTGGGGAAGAGAAGATATTATATAATGTCTACAAAAGTAGTGAAAAGTTGATTTAACTACAAAGATAAGCAACCAGTAAGATTGAGAGTGAGAATCTACACTGATTAAAAAAATATGTTTTCCAAGCATAGTTTCTAGACTATTCCCCTACATCCTCTGATAGCAGTGTGGCATGTGCTGTTGAGAACACAGAGGTCCCAATGCCATGAGAATCAGACAACAGAGACAATCTCTACACTGCAACTTTATACAGAATGAGGTAATTGAATTCCAAGAGTGTTGGGTCCTTTGGAAGACAACTGTTTTCTTTTTTGATAAATGCCAAGCTCCTTGTCAAAATATTTATGGCTAGGGACAGAAAAATCAGACGTTTTCTTTTGAGTCATTTCTCTGCATCTGGCTTATATAATTTCACTACTTTTGTATCCTCTGCTCTTTTTTTGCTATTGTTTCCTTTGTTTTTCCAACTTCTTCGCAGTTCTCTCTAGTTCCATCTTGCCCTCTCTCCTTATATTTTCTGTTACCCATCTAACATTTGGAGGAAGGGAAGAGAAGAGAATTGTCTAAATAATTGTATTGACTAATGACGCGTGAGTCAAGGTGATTTGGTTAATAAGCCATTGTCAATGGCTACTTTTGCTAAAACAGCAGAGTTGAGAAATTGCTGCAGAGACTGATGGCCAATAAAGCCTAAACTATTTACTTCTGGCCCTTTAAGAGAACGTTTGCCCTCTTTTGGTCTAGAGGAAGATGGACTGGCAAACAATCCTTACTGCACTGTAATAAGTGATGACTTACAGATAAGGGGCAGGAGTTCACAGACTTTATGGTGATCATCTTGAGGATACATGGGATGTTTTCCAAAATAGGAGGAGAAAAGAGGAAAAGGCATTCTGTTTCCAGAGTCCTTCAAGTGATCATCATGGAATCCTTAAGAGGGCAAGGAACTCCCTGAAATGATTTGCAAAAGCCAATGTTCATATGTGTGTCTCCCCCCTTAGGGTGAGGGTCCAATTCTTTCAACAAGTTTTCTACTGTCTAAGAACCACCGTTGTGGGGCAGACATGGCAGCCTGTGCACTGCCACAACAGGTGTAGAAGAAAATGACTTGCTAACAGGGGTCAATGGTGAGATCAGTGAGAACACAAAACAAGTCTCTATAGATGTGAGAGGCAGAATGAGGCTAAGCAAATTTTGTGCACCATCGTTGAGATAACCTGGGCCTGAATGGAGCAGAGCTCTGAGGCTGGCTCAATTCAGTGTAAAGGACTACCTAGCATGAGGATGTTGGACAAATCCAAGTTAAACAGACTTGGTCTTTGCTCAAATGGCCATTTTATCCAAAGCTGCCCATGGACAGATAGGCAAGAAGAACCCAGCCAGCCTACGGAGAGCCTGTGGTTGGCAGCTCCTTGTGTTAAAACCAGAGGAGCTGGCTGGATGATCCAACCTTAATCTTTCTGTAGTCAAATCCTTACTTCACATCTCCCTCCAAAGCAAAACAATATTGACTAAATCTGCCTCTGGCCCTGAGAATGTCTGGCCAAACAGCAAGAGGCCAGCATACGACTCAGCTTCCTCCTGCACTTGATTGTATTGTGACATGTAGAACAACCAGAGAACAGCAGAGCTCTCTGATCCTGGGAGGGAGAGGGCCTAGGACTGGACATGAGGTGTGTGGGGAGGTGGGACAAGGAGGTAATGATTTTCACTGGATTCCTTTTTATATTTTATTTAGATTAAGTTCTGCTCAGCAGGGTGATTTCTTAATTAGAGACGCCCAGCCAGGCAGACCTCCAGCCCAGACCCCGGTACTGCCTTCTAAGGTTTCATGAGGGACCTTGTCCTGCCTTATTTCCTGAGTTCTAATATTTGAATAGTATGCAGTGGATTTCAATGGGAGGAAAAGACATGTAATTTAATCATCTTTATTAGATTTTGCCTGTGGATGGGGAGAGGAGGAGAGAGGAGGAGGGACATGGGTCCTCTCTTTGTTAATGTTATTTTTCTTTTCTCTACCTTTCTTCCAGTGGTTGAAGAAGAAGGAGAGTCAGTGCCCCTCCCCTCGCCCCCTTTTTTAAAACAAAGAAGCTAAATGAGAACACTTAACGCAGAAGAGAACTGTGTTCATTGTAGCACTTTTCGAGGTCTGCTGGAGCCATTTAGATAAACAAATTATGCAGCTCCTCCTCCTTTGGTAACCTTGATCCTGAATGAGTGAGTGCAATAGTCCTACAGATTTTTGTCCTCTGCATCCCCACTGAAGCTGCAGAGGGTCCTCAGCAAGACCTCATCAAGTAGGGGGAAATTAAAGAGAAATTGTTCATGGTACCTTCTCTCACCTGACAATAAACTGGCATCGTTTTGGCCCCATCCAGAAGAGAAAAGCCTACCTGTAGGAACACAGAAAGAAGATCTGGAGCTTGCACGTCATCTAAGAGAAGAATGAAGGGAGGTTTATCATGTTGCTATCCAGGGAACACATTCTCTAAGGATGGGATAGGAGGAAGCAAGAACAGACAGTCAACAGAGGATATCTTAGAGGACGTAAATCCATTGGAGTGTTTCAAGAAAGCAAGAGAGACAGAATTCAGCCAGACTTTCAAAAGGAAAAGAAAGAATTATGTCCAGCACTCTTTCAATTGTCCTG